TTGCTGCAGCAAGTCAACCCGGCCAAAGCTACTGGAAGTGATGGAATCCCGGGTCTCCTAATCAAGTATTGTGCTGATATATTATCTTCATCTCTTACCACATTGTTTAATGCATCATTATCCAGCGGCGAAGTTCCACAGCAGTTCAAATTAGCTCACGTTGTTCCGCTCCACAAGTCTGGTGATCCCTCTGTTCCCAAAAATTTCCGACCGGTATCACTGCTACCGATACTGTCCAAAATCCTTGAGAAGGTCGTGCAGAAATCGTTGTTGGAACATGTCACACGGATGAACATCTTGCCAGTGACCCAATTTGCGTTCCATCATGGGCACTCTACGGAATATGCTCTTGCCAGAGTCGACAGAGCCTCTTGACAGAGTCGACACTGGGCGAGATGCGGTCTAGTTGTGGAAACCTGCCTTCTAGTTAATATTAGGGGTCAAACGGGTGTACCGGGTACCCGGGTACCCGGGTACCCGCCCGTTAATCTCAGGTACCGTTAGTAAAAGGGTACCCGTTTGTAAAAAAAAAAAAAAAAAAAAAAAAAAAAAAAAAAGGTGATCCTATCGTATTCCAAGACTCAAAATAGGAGTGCGGATACTCTTTGGCCTTTTTCCTGTGCATTCCCGCTTTCGACTTTCGACTTTATCAGGCAGGAGCAGGCTGAAAGACAGACTTGACAGTTGTTCTCTCCACTCTAGTGCAAGTAAAAATCCTCGTACTGGAGGTTTTTGATTGTGATGTGAGAAAATGCAAGACTTGAAAGTTGAAACTCGTTCGAGGTGGCAGCTGAGTAACTTAAAAGTTACGATGGTTCTCCGACATCGAACCTGCCACAGTACTTGATGAACTAGTGTCACCAGGCTGAGTGACCAGTCGGAGTGTCACAAACGGTGATGTCCGTAGGTGGTAGCTACATGTATGATACTCATGGTTGTAGTTTGTTCCTTCAATCGACGAGCTGAAAAGTAGTTCGAAATATTGCATACAAGATTACGGATTTGTGAAGATTCATTTCACGAGTTCCACAAGCTAGCTCTAGCAGCTAGCTGGCCAGCAGCACATCAGCTGTGTCAGGCACCGCAGTTAGCTATGGGCGCGAACATCTTCTGAATGCAACGAGTACCAGTTCTCTGCGAACATAGCAAATAGGATTGCGCGAGATCACGTGGCTTGAATCACATTGATCTGCAGTTGATTTGCGTACATGTATCAAAATACATGTAGCTTGTAGGACCATCTACATGTACGATTGTAAGTTACTGCCTGTGAAGTTATGTACATGGGCAAATGCACGGATGACATTCATTTGGAACCTTCATTGCCATAATAATATTATGAGACACGAATCAATTGCGAATTATAATGTAGTATCAAAATACAACCTGAGAATATACAAATTAAAATCATAATTTATGTGAGAAATGCGCAAAAAAAATAATATGGCTGCTAAAGGGTACCCGTTAACCCGCCCGTTAAGAAAATTACCCGTTCGTTAGTTAAAGGTACACCCGTTTGACCCCTAGTTAATATGTCGAAAGCCTTCGACAAAGTCAAGCACAGCATTCTTATCCAGGACCTTTTGACCATTGGCGTTACTGGAGGAGCACTGACTTGGTTCAAACATTACCTGTCAAGTCGCCAACAGCAAGTGCGCACTGGTACCGGACTCGGCAGGGTTGTTACATGCACCGGCGGTGTTCCGCAGGGTTCGGTCCTGGGGCCGCTGCTCTTCAGCATAATTATGCACTAGAGAGGTACCGACTGTTACCTGCCCGACTATGTCAATCCAGTTTGCAGACAATATAGCCTTGACTTCCACCCGCCGCAGCGCTGACCTCGTTTCTTCTGAGCTCACAACAGCCGTCTCTAACCTAGCTCGCTGGCTAGCCTCCCGTGGTCTCATCCTCAACGCCACCAAGAGTCAGCTCCTTGTCTTTGCAGGATCCAATGGCCAGAGTCCCAACGTTGTGGTAAAGTGCTATGGCATACCCGTGCCAAGTGTCACCAGTGCCCGCTACCTTGGCATCATCTTGGATGTACGCATGTCATGGCAGTCCCAGGTTGATGGGAGCATCACGAAAGCCAATAAAAAAATAGGAACTCTGTTGCGGACACGAAAGTCGCTAACACTTGCTAGCCGCGTGCTGTTCTTCAAGGCAGCTATCATGCCGGATCTACTGTATGGGTCCGTTGCGTTTAGCCCAGGTCTCACTCAGGCCCAGGCCGACCGGCTCCAAGTAGCACAAAACCGTGGGGCAAGAGCAGTTTATGGCTGGCCGGGGTTCTCTCGTGCCAGTGATCTCCTGGAAGGCATGCAGGTGTTTAGGATTGGAGAAATACATCGGCAGAAGGTCCTGGTCTTTGTCTGGAGATGCATACACGCCAGTCCGAGTCCATCCCTCCAGGAGCTCTTCGTACGCTGCGCGGATCGTAGGACGCGCCTGGATCTCGCCCTGGGGCTCCGTCTACCAGCTACACGAACCCGCACCGGACGATCTCGCCCTGCCTCCCGAGGTAATGCCCTTTGGAACGTCCTTCCGGATGCAGTCAGAGTACTGTCGTCTCTCAGCAGCTTCAAAGCTGCCGTATACCCTCCGATCTTCCTGATGTTATGATTAGAAACTTGCCCTGAGACAGTTTCCTGTCTGTGATTGATTTTCACTGTTTAACATTATTATTTGCCATGGCGACCCCCGTAAGTCCGTAACTGGCAGGGCAGGGTTGGGCCTTTTATCCTCCCGATGTTAGTAGCAAGTACTCTCGTTAGCAGTAACTGTTAGTACTTTGCTTGTTTTTTATCCCCGTAGCTATATAGAAGACGTTACTTCAGTAACGTCTGGCGTTAGCCAGGTTCCACACAGCTTTAACTTGGTGTTTGTTTGTTTGTTTGTGTCACGCCTGGCGCTATCCCGTATCTGTCCCGTACCGAACAGTACCATCAAACACAGCTGGCCACATACAGCTGGCCGCAATATTCAAATAGGGCTTTCAAACGCAAGTTCATAACGTGAAGCAACTTAGAAGAATGGGTATGAATGCTAAGTGTATGGGGGAATGCATGTAGGGCAATAGTGCGGCTTCAAATCCTAGGATATGCCTGAAAAAAAGGAGAAGAGAAATATTTATAACACCCCTATGCTTTTTTTGCCGTCGTCAAGGACGGTAGTACACGTACTACTACAAGAAGTAGTACCCCAACGGTCAGACCTGACCTGCCCGCCAAACCTCAAACAGTAGTCTACTGAAACGCACTATCACAAGCCAGTTCACAAAAGAGCCAGCCCGCGCCAAACGCACTGGCCTTCAGGGCGTGGAGCGGGTGAAGCGCACGGCTTTCTACCTTGGCAATGTAGACCTTGGATGCGATGCTGCCTCAATTGAACTGTGGTGTAAAAAGAAAGATGTCGAAGTTTGTCACTGCTCAATCTCAGAATCACGGTACTTTGGTACAGCGAATGCCCACCTGGTTGTGGGAGAGAACTGTGTAGACAAGATCCAAGGGCCTGGTTTCTGGCCTGACAAAATCAGTATCCGGAAATGGAGGTTCCACACTGACCAGGCTGAATTTGAACAAAGAGTAAACCAACACCTCAACTTGACCCTAACGCAACACCCTTCTATCCTTCAACGCCCCTAGCCTCCTTTCCCGCAGCCTGTATCAATGCACGTTCCCTTAGAAACAAATCTGCCGAGCTATCCGACTTTCTCACGACCAGCTGTCCCCTTGTTGTTTGCATAATTGAAACCTGGTTGTGCCCACAAATTTCCTTCTCCTTCCCAGGCTATGAATGTTTTCGAAGGGATCGACCCACCTCCAAGAATAAAATTAACACCAACGACTTCCTGGCCTATGGCGGTGCTGCTATCTTAGTAAAATCAAGTGAATTTGGTCCTATTACCCACCGTACAGACCTACATCTTCCGCAATTTGAAGCTACCTGGGTGGAGATATCGCCATCCACTGGAACCTCTGTTTGCCCCACGCACCAGCAGCCCATCCAAATTGCGGCTGTCTACCGCCCACCGTCGACCGACCCGTCGATGATAGACAACTTTTACGCCTCATTTCAAAGCTGCTTGACTAAAATCCTGACCCCTGGCTCGCCAGTACTCATCATGGGAGATTTCAATGCTGAATGTTCCACCTGGTATGGAACAACAACAGACACTGTTGGCCACCACCTTTCATGTCTTCTTGACATGTTTTCCTTGCAGCAACACGTCACATTCTCGACCCACCGCTTCCACAAAGGCAATGAGGCTGCTCTGGACCTGATGATCACTGACACTGCAGCCAGCATCTGCGATCCGCACCCCTCAGCCCCTCTCGGTCAGTCGGACCACTCAATTGTTCTCGGCCGTTTGTGCATATTGACATGAACCGCATCAACACCTGCACCCAACACTACACTGCCCTCCCATTCCGTCCAGATACCTGACTTCAGTCAGTTTGACATCTCCTCCATTCTTCCCACTCACCTAGTTGCTCTAAATGGATCCATTGCTAACTACTATCACCGTATTAAGCTTCAACTTGCTCCTCCTCATGCACTTGCGCATTTAAGCTGGTTCAATAATAGCTCGCGTACCAGATGCTCTCTCCATTTCCCACTTGCCAGATCATCGATCCTTTTAAAATCCCCTCTGTTCAAATCCTATTCTCATTGGTCTCAGCTTCCGCAGGAGGTAAAGTCTCGTGACACTTTCGCTGCATTTTGTTCCATTCTGCCCGCGCCTAAGTTGAATGGAATTGAATTCGTTGTTTTCCATTGCTAGCCTAATCTTCATACTGCTCTCTCCAGGTTCCTATAGTACTCCTTTTGGTTTGTTTTCTTTTTTCTTTTTCTTCTCCTTCTTTTTCTCAGTTGCCCCCACCATGGCTGGTTAAAATCGCCCGCATCACATGCTTAATGGCACTATGTCATCGTGATTGTGGAATAATAATAAAATAAAATAAATTAAGGCGGTAGACGGTGTCGTATTACCCTCGATCGTAAACCTCATCCCAATAATTATTATTATTCTCAATTCATGGATGACATGGTGTAAACCAATATAATGAATGAGGGCTACCAGCCATGGAATTCAATACACATGCTAAAACTTAAAAGTGTTTAGGCACACGTATAAAATGGTTCATGGAAACATTCAAATGTTCGTAAGTTCTGAACGCGATTTCAATCATGTCCAAATAAGCACGTGTAACAAGTATCAATACTGGAACAATCGGCAGTAATCTAACTCAGGTGGTCACGTGATAGCTCAGCTCTGCATTTTTCCACTGCCAGTTACAGTAGTTCCTTGACAGTAAGTTCATAGCCATATCGCATCATAGCATCCAACAATTCCTCTTTCGTCCATTCTTTCCGATATTGCTGTCCTTGTGATGAGGAAAGGAGAAAGCTACCCAAACCAAGGTATAGATCGTGACGATTGGGGCGTCTGGGCTGCGGCCAATGTGTTACTAAGTCTTCGTGCTCTATGATAGCAGTGAAGTAGTCGTCCACCTGAGACGTACGTAGCCTTCCAATTATCAGGAGGTTGACAACTGAATGATTGCTTCCGAGGTTTGCAACCTTCTTGACCCATTGATTGGTAAGAATCACCGGATCGAAATAATCGAGGATGTCATCCTGATTTTCCAGAAGACACCAACATAGATAAGGATTATATGTCCATACAGAAGAAAGGTAGGCGCCGAGATCTGGGCCATCTAGTCCCAGGTATGAACATATCTTAGCGTCGCTCTTGGCCAAACTGAGAAGACCTTTCGCAAGCTCTACAAGCCTCCAAGATTGGTGCACATAGGGCAAGCATTCCAAAAGCAGTGACATATCTTCTTCCAAACAGTTGATTATGGCCTCTTGGTAATGTTCAAGGGAGCCACACGTCTCGAACAATAAATTCGCTATATCTCCTATCAGGTACATTCTGCCCTCAAAGGGTTTGAGGGGGTCCACAGTCGTGCAACTTTCCCTTATCATAATGGGGGATATAGTCGGTAGGTCCTCAGAAGCATCCTCCGGGAACAGTGTAGCGTTCTTAAAAGGTGGGTAAAGTAAACCAGACTTTTTACAGCTGGGGATGCGACTGAAAATGGGGAAGGGTTTCAACGCCAGGCATAATAATTGCACAGTCGATCTCCTTCTGCAATTGAACGTAAGACAATCGAGATAGTCGAGGCTACTTTCATCGCCGCTGTCAAACATACTGGCTGCTTGGTCGGCGATATGTAGGCTTTTGGCAATTCGAATATATGGCACATCCAAATATGGGCTGAGCTGATAGCGGTGCTGCATGGACAGGACGAGCAAAAGCAAGACAGTGCATACATACACTAAAATACGTGTATCCGTCGTCGATAGGAAACACTTTTTCTCATAGTTAACATCGGTGTGAAGAGGGTTTCACAAGTAAACTTTCGTTCCATCTCTTCGGGTGATAAACAGGCGAGGGTAATCGGGTACAAGAACAATAAACTACGTACCGTAAAGAGGTGATTAAATGGGGCAAAGAAGCATACGGAAACACAACAATGTTTTGACGATCCTGAATAGCGTGTGTATTCAGATGATTGTTTCTCTATTTTGTTTGTTATAATATGCAGTGCCAGGTTGTAGACAGTTTTGGTAATTCCTATACATGTATAGTCGCACTAAGTACCTGTATGTATGCAAGCAGATGCAGGCAAAATTCACACTTAGTCTGATAGGTAGATTGTCATGACGTTAGTGACATGTAAGTCCAGTGATTGTCTTCTGTAATTGCACTACATTTTACGCTTGCTAGGCTAATTCAACCTACCACCTGTTTGATATTCTCTTTTTTTGTGTATGGGTTTAAGCAGTTTTATATTTTTTCGTGGTAGTTTAATAGGTAAGGTATGGACTCAGATGGAGAGCCAAGGTTTAATTTAGACAAAAGAGAAAGATCAAAGAACTAAAAGTTACGCTATACTGTCCACTGATACCACCAGTTACTTAACAAGCAGCTCATGCGATAACATTGCACGACGATCTTTTGAGCCACACAAGTTGTGTGGAATGTTGATCTGCATTCTTGAACCGTGCTTCGAACGTATTGTCCAATTGTCTTGCCAGTATCTTCACGACATGCATGAACATCCGCCACCGTCCTTCACAGCTGAGACTTTCAGTTTGTGCTTATCTTGGTTGCGCTCAACTTCCCCTCCTTATGTTATTTCTATAACTTAGAACCTTCCAAGTTAGGGGTGATTATATGTGCAGCTCCAGCCCGGGCTGGTCGACAGGCGGGCCAGCCCAACAGCAACGGGATCTCGGGATTGTGCACAAATCCGCACAAAACCTGTGGTGCGTTTACATGGCAAGCGGGCTGGCCCGGCGAGGCGGGATCCCGCCTCGAGGCACCCGGGAACCCGGCTAGGCGGGCCAGAAAATCATATTATAAACAGACCAGCCCGGGCCAGAATTGTATTATTATGTTCTCGACACTGCGCTCAAACTACAAAATAGGTACTTTTACCTTTTGAGGGAAGTTATAAAGAGGATTCCCGATATTGTCTTGAAAATCTATGAAGCTTTTTGTGCAGCAACAAGAAGGACGTGCAGTGAGCACTGTTTATTTGTCGACATGCATGATTTACATTAAAATGGAAGGAGAACTTCTTGCAAAATACTTTGATATGGACAGCTAAAAATGTGAAAAACAGGAAAAAGAAACAAGGTGATACAACACACCAAGCATGTGCTACAGCGCGAAAAGAGATCAGCAGAAGAATACATTGTGTGAGAAAAAGGTTTTTAGGTTTATAATCTGAGTATGGCTTACAGCGCTGCGTTTTAGCCCGGGGCAGCACACTACAGTCGTAGTGTATTCGCTGCATACTCACAACGGGCTGGCGTGTGCTCAGCGCATATAAACTCAATGCGGGCTGGCGACCAGCCCGGCCTTGCACATGTAAACACCCTTGGCGGGCTGGCCCGCTCGCTCCAGCCCGGGCTGGAGTTGCACATAATTATAATAGGCCCCTTAGAAGGCTGTTGGAGTGCGCTTCCAAGATGTGCTAGAGCTGTTAGCCAGTTAGCTGAAGAACGTCAGTACCGTCGGTCAGTGTCGTGCAATGTTTTCGCTTGAGCTGATTGTTTCGTAACTGGTGGTGCTAGTGGACACAATAGCGAAACTTGTAGTTCCTTTGTCTTTCTCTTTGGTAAAAGGTAAGGTATACTTATGTTTATTCCCGTAGCTATGCATAAAACGTTGCTCCATTAACGTTTGGCGCTAGCCAGGATCCACACAGGTTAAATTCCGTGTTTGTTTGTTTGTTTGCTTGCTTGTGCCGTCGGTATGCTTCTGGCGCTATCCCTTAAGCCTAGTTCACATTCGACGGGGCGCGACGGGACGCGACGTCAAGATCGACGGGAAGCGACGGGACGGGCTGACGGCGTCCAATGTGTACACCAGGAACGGGAACGCAACCATACTACCGTACAGATCGGGAAGCGACGGGAAGAGTTGGATCGATCCAACTTTTCATACCGTAGACGGGCGAAGACGGGGACGCAAGCGTACAAAACGGCTGCAATTCGAGTGTGAACAGGAGACGGCGTCGTGCGCCGACTACTCCGGATTCGTACTTGGAAATTTTTAGCATTTCGAACACTGCGCTTCCCATGATAACTCACAGAATGGCTAGCACGACTTGAGTTGAATTTTAGCAACATAAGGTCTCATGTCACCTATTGTATTTAGGGATAGTTCAGAAGCGTGACAGACGAACTATTCTATCATTTCCTGGGGCTATTATTTGAATGCCACAACTCTCAGGGGCTAATTTTTTGGTCTTCGTGAAAAACTGGTATTGTGAAAATTGATTCCGCTTCTTTCAAGGAGAAATAATTGAAGAGAAGTCCCGAAAAACGAGAAATTAGGTCCAAAAGCCACCCTGCCACGGACCTTGCCTTATGACTCGCGCCGTTCGACGTTGAACGTCGCAACGATTGCTGCATGTCGTGTCGTACGAATCCAAGAATACACGCACACTGACATAAATACACACACCCAAACAGGAATAATTCAGTATTACTCACCAGACAAAGTCGTCTGAACGTGTACTCATTGAGCAGCAACCGTTGCATGGATTTGCTTACAGCACACAGCTGAAATATGTCTTGAATAGACAACATTGGCAACAATATGTCTTGCCAGACATCAAACTGAACACTTTCCAGTCCATTCACTCCTGATTCATGGGCATCCATTGCCAGGGTTGGCCTGCAGTGCTGGTTGTCCGATACTTGCTTAATCTATGGGGTTTTCTACATACGACTAACAAGAAAACAAAATTTAGAGCACAATGCAACACAATAATGCACACAGGACCTAACACAAAAACTCGCAAGTCAAAATTATATTTTTCATCTTAAAATCATTTATACAAAGAGAAAAGACCACGGAAATACAAGCTCTCCATCAGAGTTTATGTACAGCCAAAAGTTAACAATCTGGGAGCTTTTATACTTTAGCTACAACATTACACCGTTGTGGCCGCCATTCCATACATTATCATAAAATCAGCAGAAAAGGGAATAAGAAAGCAGAAAAACGAGACACAGTAGTTTCAAATAGAAAACTCCTTGCTTCTCACTGGACCTCGCGCTTTCTCGCTGCCTGGACTTCAAACTACACTAATTTCCGAAAGGAGTTATGCATCCTTGCAGGTTTGCAGTGTGGCATTTTCAGTGGACATCTCTTGTGCACTGTATGGCAGTCTCGAGTTAGTCAAGTGAGATTTCAAGAGTGGCCAGGGAGGAGCAAGCTGTCACGAAGGAATCAGCACAGAATGTTGCTACCAGTGTCTTGAAAACAGGGAATTAACAATTTTACAATAAGCACAACATGAACTGACTAAAGAGATTCTATGGCCTCTACATCCTACACCCTTACCTCACTGAGTGGAAAGAAAGTTGGTAACTGGCGACATCGGGTAGGTATATAAGTTTCTGCTGTACTAGGAGGAAGAAAAACGGATCTGACTGGCTGCGTTGCAGATAGTCTACTGTCTGTTCGAAAGCTGTACAGCACCGCCTAATGCAAAGAGTCTACTGTCTGTTCGAAAGCTGTACAGCTCTGGCTAACTAGTATACCATAGTACAGTCATTTTCCAGTACAGTGTCATCGAAGAACCACTTGCACTTGTGTAAGTACAATGCAGTTAGTTGTGAGCGTTCATGGTCTGGGACAAGACAAGTGGTCCCTACTCGTCTTCTGCTCTAGTGCATGCATCATGTCATGTAACTCAGCTGGGCATCTAGCAGCCCATGCAACCCCAGCAACTATGCCATCTCAAAAGTAAAGTACATGTAGTTGAGCTTGGCTCAACGACTACATTCGCGATGCAACAAGCGATATGGCCTACGATTGTGACCTATTCTACAGGAAAGTAGTCCAAAAGTTCAAGAGCTGCCTGCTGTACGTTTTTGTACCATAGTACAGTCATGTACCAGTGTCGGCAGTCCATGCGATGAAGGATGTCTTCGATGACCCCGAAACAGTGTGCCACCTCCTCGCTGATTCCGATAACGACTTCAACTCTGTTAGTTTGAACTGCCACTCTATGGAACTGTCGTGTGCTTTAGCCTAGGCGTTCAGGGTTTCTGTTTGACTCATTTCGTCGGTTTCCGGTCGTTGTGCTTCGTGGGGCAGGCGCCAACTCCATCCATGTCCTGTACAGCCGTGAGGGAACCACGCAAGACTGCCCCTTGGCAATGATGATGTATGCCATTGGTGTGCAACCCCTTGTCAGGACACTCGCCAACCCCAGTAAGCAACGACAGGACTAGTAGTTTGCCGATGATTCCTTATGTGGAGGAAAACTGCGGCATGTCAGCGAGTATGTCGATGTTCTTGCGGACGCAGGCCAGGATTTTAGGTACTTCTCTGAACCAACAATGAAGAAACCCCATGACAGCCACATCGCCGTTTGGATATGTGAAGCAGGGTGGCATGTTCACGATTTCCAATTCAAAACATTCTCCGGAAACCTTTACAATGTGGAGCCAGACAGTTGAGAACATAAAAAATGCATGTTTCGGAGCACACAACTTGGTCTTGAAAAAATCTAATTTTTGGGACTGTGATTACCCTCGATACTGTTCTGTTCCTTGTTAGAAATACTAATAGTAATGTCAGAATCAATGGTCCTACTGGTTGCTTTTCTCGTTTCATCATCATATTATTTATACTAAAACCAATATTTTGGGATTGGATTGGATTTTTATTTATAGTGGTGACTATAACAGACAATTGCCTAATAACAATAGACCCACTCGAGGGAAAGATGCAAAAAGATATGAATAATTAATATAATAGACTACCAGTATTGGTTAGGTGATCATGTTCGCATTTTGCATACCTGAACGTCATAATTACTAGCGCGAAAAAGCAAGGCATGGGGGTAACAGTTTCTTAAAACGGGCGGAGTTATCCACACAGCGAGCTAGAGGGTGCAAATCATTCCACAGCTTAGCACATTGGAAGGAAGCGCCATGACTGGCAAAGGCAGTTCTGAGCATGGGCAACTTAAGAGTGCGTGATACAAGGCTACGCGTTGCAAGACCATTATTTAAACGCTCGAACATTTGACTTAATGTGACACTATAGCGGCCTTCCAAACAGTGCCAAGTCAGATACAGTAATTTCTTGCAAAACATGGATGCCAAACGACCTAGACCAAGTCTCGCAAATAAAGGGCTTGATGGGCTACAAAAACCAGTATCGTACACTGAACGCAAAACTCGCTTTAGCATTCGTTCAAGCCTACCTAACTGGGTTAAGGAGAGGCCAGCAAAAAAACATTTTGATGCATATAGAAAATCTGGCAACACTAGGCACTTTACAAAGGTTTCTCGCCAAGTCAGCGGAATATTGCGTCGATTTCGGAACAGAATACCAATTTTACTGGCACGTTTGGTGACCATTGAATCAACTAGAGTCCTCCAAGAAAGATCCTGGTCCAAATGTATTCCAAGGTACTTTGCACATGTCACTTGCTTGAGCTGCACTCCATGACAGTAGACTGCGAATTGGTGGTCAGTAATATCTGGCGTAGACAGGAAGAGCACTTGTGTCTTCCGAGCATTTAGAATTAAATTGCGGTTTGACAGCCAGGTACTAATGGCTGAGACAGCTGCAGACAGGGAGTTGCTAAGCGCACTCTTCTGCGTACCGCCAACATACAATAGAATATTGTCAGCAAATTGAATAACTTTCACACAAAACTCGGAGACAATGGACTGGATCGGACGAACATAGAGTACAAAAAGCAGCGGACCAAGAACAGAGCCCTGGGGAACGCCACACATGCAGGGGAAAGGTGGACTATAGTTCTCAGCAATGTGCACTATTTGGCGGCGATTGGACAAATAGTCGGCAAACCAAACTAATGCTGAACCAGATGTGCCAAGCTCAAACAAATCATTAATGAGCACTTGGTGCCTGACTTTGTCAAATGCTTTGGACATATCCACGAGCACAGCACCAGTTATTTGTCCGGCATCGCGAGCGCGAACAAACGTGTCCTTGACGAAAACTAGAGCGTCTTCCGTTGAATCTTGACGTCTAAAGCCAAACTGACAGGGAGGGTACAAATTCTCCTTGTCCAGAAATGAGGATAGTTGTCTATGGAAAAATCGTTCTAACAGCTTCGACACAATTGGCAGGAGAGACACAGGGTGATAATTTCCCGGATCTTGCGGATTTCCAGCCTTGAATACCGGCGTGACATGTGCCAACTTCATGCCGTCTCTCACAGAACCAACAGCAAGAGATGCATTAAATATCAATGTTAAGGAGGGAGCTAGCAAACAGCGCAGGACTTCAGAAGAAATGCGGGTATTCCATCACTGCCTGTCATTTTGCTGGTGTCCAAGGAACCCAACAGTTTACGCACACAACCTATTGACACCGAACTGAAGGATGTAAAACCCTTACGTCCCACTGGGCCCTGTGGAAGACGCAGTTCAGGTCCTTGTTGTTGATCACTGACAACATCAGCAATTACACACCCAATGTTGCATGCAGAGCATTGTGGAACGGATTGAACACGTTTTTTTTCCGATCACTTGTTCAAAACCTTCCACGTTTTCCTGGGATTACCTTGAACACTGGTGAACTTAGACTTAAAAAAATCGTCTTCAATTCACGGTTCATACGAGTCACGATACGCCTGGCTTCTTTAAACGCATCGTAATCAGTCTGGCACTTAGATTGCAGCCATTTCCGATGAGCGTGGTTACGTCGTCGTATCAACAGGAACAAATGTTCATCGACCCCTGGTGAATGCTGTCTTGGTCGGGAAGACGCGTGGCGCAATGGAGCATGAGCATCAAGAATGGGCACAACCTTAGTCAGCCACTGTTGTCACATGTCGTCGCAGGACCCACGAAGTTCACAGAGGTTGGCGCAAGAAAGATCCATACGAAGTGATGCCAAGTCCATTCTCTTGAAGTTTCGATAAAGTCGCTGAGAAGGCAATGCTGTCGGCACTGGTTTAACACAAATCTTGGTTGCAATAGCACAGTGGTCACTGAACGGAACTGGACAAACATCAGGCGGGGATATGACTTGAGCTGTACTATAGACATGATCTAATAGAGTGCAGCTCCCTTGCAGCGTTATGCAAGTTGATGCAGGCCTAAGCTGGTTGTGATGTCATGCAAGGAGGCATGCTGGGATGTGGGAGATTGACTGGCCAGATAAACATTAAAGTCACCACAAAGCAGAATATTCTTGGCTTCTCCGGATGCCTTGTGTAACATGGCCTCGGAAGTCTGCCAGTAAGCTAGTGACTGACTCGGTGGGCGGTAATTACACCCGACAAGAAGAGGTTGTGGGTGATCTTTGATCTCTACCCAAATGCATTCAACGCCATCGGCCGTTAAGTCGGGACGTGGGTGACTAAACAGTGAGTTATTAACATACAAACATACACCACCTCCGGGTTTGCCGCGCCTGTCAACCCGAAATAAAGTATAGTTTGCGATTGACATCTCCATCGACGGAACGGAGTTGTTAAGCCACGTTTCACATACAGCAGCAATGTCAGTTTTTGTGTCCGATATCAATTGGGACAAGTCAGTAAGTTTATTACGTAGACTGCAAATATTCAGGGACAGTGTCCGTATACATCCAGGGTAGAACGGGGTTGCGCCTGGGTTCATTTTACTACTTATACCCATGGTTAATCTTCAGTACTTTGTTCCTTCGTCGGCATGGACGCCTCGTCATGGAAGATGTTCGTTACAGTCATGACGAGTAGGCCCCTCAAAAGGAGTCAAACGGTAGTATGTTGCGCTTGGTCAGGGGGGGGGGGGGGGATTCTAACGCAGCTTTCCCTTGGCGTTGCCGTTTGACGGTTTGCCAATGGTCCGTACTACAAAAATAATACTTCGAGTAGGTGTGCAGACCGGTCGGTGTAGTCGTGGATCTTCACTGATATTTTTATTATCAATTAAGAAAGGCGAACCTCTCAGCTTTTCTATTTTTCTTGTCACAATGTAAGAGCCATTGACACTTTATCTACATAAGGTTCTATCTAAAGACAGTAAAGTGCACGATACCTGGGCCAGGGATTACTATTTTACTACTCCATGGCTCCTAACATCGCCTGGCTGGCCGCGTCCGTATGCACAGCAAACCTTTTTTGTCACACTGTAACAGCGGACTCGGTTCGGGTTACATAATATTATAATATTATTCAAATTACAATTACAATTCATTGCATTCCCAACTCATCACAACCACGCGCTCCTCAGCCGAACCATACAGACACCAGCAAGGACACTTCCGTTGAGAGATAATATTGTTCCACGCCTCTACAGTCGTTTCGCTCCCTGTCGGAGCTCATCAGTAGAGAGGTGTCAGTAGTTGCTACTAGACCTGTTAGTATCACACCCACGACTACAAGTTTCCTGGTGTGCATCGTCATCGGCATCAGTGGGGCCTCCCGCTGTCGATCCTGTTGACGGGCGGACAGGTCGGTGTG